AATCTGAGAAATATGAGAAATAAGAAGTAATTAAATCTGAAAATTTTGAGATTATTGCGTTTATAGTAATGTTATATTAAACTACAAATTACAATTTTCAAACACTATTTACTCTACCTAGATGTCACGTTTCTAGCCAGTTCCAAAATGTACCACTGGAAGAATTTGTCGCTTGTGTACAGACCAATGGAAAGTCGTTCAAACGAGCCTTCAAACAAAACAAAAATTGAATTTTTAAGAAAAACAGTAAACAAATTGGTGTCTTTACAATTTGATGTTATTCTTGAATTAAATTAGTACCTCACACACATAGTAACTAAGTAAGTAGTAAGAGTTTTTATCTAATTTTAAATATCTTTAACGGATTGCAAAATTCAATAGTAAAAAACGTATAAAAAATTGTATAAAATTGTATAAAAAAGTACAGTAACATAAGTAATAGGTAATCGCCAATTCGCCAAAAATAAATTAAAAAATTCTTCCGTACGTTTTYTTATAAAGAAATAAAATGGCCAAAAATGGAAATTGTTTAAATTAATTTTTAAACGACACGGACAAAAAAATTCAAATTAATATACGGGCTGTATTATAAAAAACGCTCCAAGTCATTACTTTTAAAGACGTTATAATACTTTTTTGCTCAATATTGAACAGTTTTTTGTTATCAGTCTTCTCTTAGATAAAATGAATAAAAATGTTCTACTTTTTTCACAGCTTACTTTATTTAATTTAATTTTAAAATTGCCTAAAATCAAAAGTTAGTGATAAATAATAGTAAGTAGATAAGAGATTGTTGGAAGACAATTTAATGAGGAATCTAAACATAATAAAATATACAGTGTTACATTAAAAAAAATTAAATTAATGTCACTTCTTGTGAAACACGAAGCAGCATTGATTGAGCATCTATGCCAAACAATAGATGACAACAAACTGTTCAACTTTGTTCCAAGAGGAATTGTCATGTTTAAAAATAATGGAGTTATAGCTTAGGGCGTTTTTTATAATACAGCCTGTATATTGCTGCTAAGGCCATCAAAAAGTTATAATATTTTTTTCACAATTTTTGAACTACGATTTATTTTTTTATTTAATATAGTTCAGCCTTGCAAATCTAATCAAATGGCAGTATCAAAAGAATACACAAAGCTAATTATAATTGTAGACTATGTTACAACATAGACACCTGACCATTAAGTAATAATTATATTGTAACTCAATACAAATTTCTTTATTCTCCTTATATCATCGAACGTTGCCGCCTGCCTGATTAAGTGATTAATCACGTTTTCTTGTTATTTTCAAACGTGCTGTTCACTACTTCTACTATTTTATTTWAGAAAAGTTAACGAAAATTATTAAAAATCAAAATCGTTTTATACGCTAGATGTTGAGAAAGTTGAATTTTACACAATGCATTATGTATAAAAATTGGTATAAAGTTTAGATTTTTATTTATTCAAAAAATGGAACAGTGTCTTATTACAATACATTACATTTCAAATCTATTACCAAACTTCATTAAATTACACACGCCCTTGTAAATAAGGTTTTATGTTATAAAAAAAAATATATTGAATGTCTGCTATCACAGGTTAACATGTAATTCCGTACCAATACATTTTTTGTCAAAAATTATCTCAACATTATTCATCGTGCCAACTTAATTTGAAAGTCCCATCCACTTTGATTCAAAATTTAATAGAATACATGGGGTAATAGGGTTACTTATTAAATACAAAAGCTGATTTAACATTTACTCATTATTATTAGATAAAGAACGATTTGTTTAACCTTGAAACCCTGAAACAGAATCTAATTAAATTGAAAAGTAGCTTTTCTTCCATTTCGCAGCTTAAAATATTAACTAGGTCACTTGTTTTGTTCCTCATAAAATAAGCGTTTTACGTCAAAAGTGATATAAATATTTGTTTGGAGGTTTGGGGGTTGTGAATAAACAATATAGTCATTTTCATGCAGGTCTGAGATGGATGTTGCAAGTTTCTACACAAATATTGACATTGTATTCGACTATTACGTATAGATTGCTGGTTAGTGGTAAGTTTGAAATTCATTTATGAGGGGCGGAGGGGTGGTTAGATTCGGAGATAGCATTGATTCTGTTGAGAGGAATTTGTATAYTGAAAMTGCAAAGATGGAATGAGAAGAAAGTGATTGAAGGAAGAGGAAATATGKAATTTTTACTATTGAATGGTTGAGATAGAAAAGTGTTAATTAATAAAAAAAWAATAATAAACCAGTTTCATTAAAACCCTYGTTAAAACCTTACRAACATGTCTAGGTAATTAAATGTGTTTATTCTTTGTTTAATAAAAAGAAGAGCTCTTTTGATGTTGTTTATGGAACATCTATAATAACAAGAACTAGATACTCTTACACTACATGCAAATTGTACACCATCTCGTCTCAACGAATATAAGAAAACCGACTGCGCTGTTACAAAACTCTTGACAGGTGATTCGGATGTACGTGTAAGTTATATAAGGTCGTTGTCAGTGTCACTCGAATATTCGCAGTTAGTTTAATGCAAATCTTAATGATTTATGAACATCGCTATCTCTTGATAAAGACGACATAAAAACGATCGCGAAAGTGCCACC